AGGTCACCGACCGGCGACCGCTTCTGGAATTTAGCACCCGTTCAACCAGATTCAAACCTCTTCGGTCCTGGCCTGTTTTGGTCAAGATCAAAAACGCAGGAAGCGCACACACCCGCAAAACGCAAACAAACAAACAAACAAACAAACAAACAAACAAACAAACAAACAAGCAAACAAACAAACACACAAACAAACAAACAAACAAACAAACAAACAAACAAACAAACAAACAAACAAACAAACAAACAAACAAACACACAAAACCAAACGAAACACAACAAACGAAGACCAAGCAAAAACAACATCTGAACAAAACAAACAAGCAAACAAAACAATCAAAACAGAACAGCAAACACGGAACGAAACCGCACAATCAAAACAGAACAGTACAAACCCAAACGAAACCAAACAAAAAAAAAGCGAAACAAAACAAAACAAAACCAACAGAACGACCAACAACTTCGAACAGGCGAGCCCGCACCTGGGCCGGCTTCTCCACCTTCTCCGCCGTCAGCGTCTCGTGTCCTTTGCGCCCGTTGGCGCTGAGGCGCCCGTAGCACCCCGCGAGGCTCGCCAGGGCCAGCGCCGCGCGGCGCTGGCGGTCGCTGGAGCTGAGCTCCGCGGGCCACACGGCCACCACGCGGTAGCCGTGGCGCTTGGCTGCCAGGACGTAGGGGAGACCTGAGGCACGGGGCAAACCGAAGTTGGGGGGAGAGGGGGGTTCTGTTTGGCCTCAAACCAACCAAGAGAGGGGGGGGTGCGGGGCCCGCAAAAAGCCACGCCCAACACGTGCAGGGGGGTCGGGAGAAACGCCAAAGAAGACCAGAAGCACCCGTCGGGGCTTCCCGTCGGGGCTTCCCACTGTCCCTTCGACCCCCTCCCAGCCGGGAAGAGAGAAATCGGATCTAGGCCAATCAGCAGAACAAAGGACAACGGGTTGTTTCCCGGCCAAATTTTATATACCAGAGAAGGACAATGGTGGGGGAACGGCGAAAAAAAACAATCAAAAGACGGACAATCAACAAAACAACACCTACGCACCTCCAAAGGGAAACACAACAACTTCCGCAGATCGCCAAGGTATACTTCAGCGGAGACTATGTTTGCCCAAAGGAACAAAATGAAACACGCATGCGGGAACACACACACACACAAGCAAAGCACAAGCTTCATGTTCAAGGTTCGCCAACCTTGGTCTTGGTCTTGTCTCAATCGCTGGATTTCCCCTTCAAAAGTTGCAATTTGCTGGTGGCTTCCCTTGAAACCGCCACTTTTGGAGGTTCCACAAAGGGAAATGGAGGAAACCGTGCCAAATACTAACCAACTCGGGCGGAGGGACGGTCCCCCACATCCACGCCGTTGCGCAGCACGAGGACCGGGGACGCCTTTTGCTTCAGCAGCTCTGTGAAGGCCTTTCACAAATTTGCCCGCGCAGGGCAAACCACGAAAGCCAGAAGGAAAACAAAAAGCAAAGCACGCAAAAAAGCAAAGCACACCACAGAATCGAAGAACATGGAAGGACATCAAAGAAATGCAAAAAACGAAAGCAATTCAAGTATTTGCTTAAAAGGAATGGAAATTCAAAGCAAAGCAAAAAGGAAAGAACCAACATTGAAAGGAAACCAAAACAAACAGCAAGGAAATGTAAAGGAAACCGACAACAAAAGCAAAGCAAAGCAAAGAAAAACAAAGAAAATGAAGGAACTCAAGGAAACTCAAGGAAACAAACAAGAAACACGTGTAAAATCAAGAAATATCAAAGGTAACAACGCGAAAAGCAAAGAAAATCAAAAACAAACAAAGGAAACCAAACAGCAAAGCAATGAACGCCAAAGAATAACAAAGACCTGCAGCAAATTCAATGAAAAACACAGGCAACCAAAAACATGCAAAGACAATCAAAGAGCAACAAAGGAAACCAATAGAAAAGCAAGGACACTCAAAGAATGTTGAGGGAACCGAAAAAAACAATAAAGGAGAAAGTCAAAGGAAACCAAAAGAACAACAAGGATAGTCAAGGCAAAACAGAGGAAACACAAAATAAGCACAGAGAAAGTCAAAAGAACGAAAACAAAAGGCACATAAAATCAAAGAACGTCAAAGGAAACCAAAAAGGAAAGCAAAGCATATCAAAAAAGACGGGGAATCCAAAAGAAAAGCAAGGAAACTCAAAGAAAGGGAAACCAAAAGAAACCAAAAAGGAAAACAATGAAAGTCACAGGAAACCAACAAGAAAAGCAATGAACATCAAAAACATAATACACCAAAAGGAAAAGCGGGGAAAATGAGAGACACTCAAACCTAACCAAACAGAAGAGCAACGAAAATTAACGGAAGCTAACAAAAGGCTTGACAACCCCAAAAAAACAATCCAAGGACACCAAAAGGAAGCATAGAACATCAAAAAAAAACAAAGGTAAGCAAACTGAAAAGCAAAGAAAAACAACTGAAGCCAAAAAAAAGCAGCGAAGACCCGCAGAGGAAGCCAAAGAAAACAAACAATGCAAAAAATATGAAAGAAAAACAAAGAAGGCAAAGTAACTTAGCAAAATAAAAGGAAACTGCGAGAACAGCAAGGATGATCAAAGACAAATTAAAAGAAAGGCAATAAAAATCCAAAGAAACCAAGAAACAAGAAAGAACATTCCCCCCAAAAAATAACAGGAAGAAAAGCAAGAAAACCACAAAAGAAAAGCAAGGACATTCAAAGGAAACCAAAAAGAAAAGCAAGGGAATTCAGAGGAAACCAACAAATGTAGAAAAGAAACCCAAAGCAAACCAAGAAGAAAAAGCAAAGAAGATCGACGCAAACCAAAAATACAAGCAAAGAATCTCAAAGGAAACCCAAAAGAAAAGCAAGCAAAATCAATGAAAATCAAACAGAACCAAATAAATTCAAAGGAAACCAACAAGAAACGCCAGACATCTCCTAGGAAACCAAAACGAAATGCAAAGACATGGAAAGAGAAATGAAAAAAGACTCCGACAAGAAATGCGAAGGCAATCAAAGCAAACCAAAAAATAAAAGCACTGATAATCAAACGAAACCAAAAACAAATGCACAGAAAATCAAAGGAAACCAACAAACAAATGCACAGAAAATCAATGTAAACCAAAAGAAATGCAAAGAAATTCAAAGGAAACAAAAAATAAATGCAAAGTAATACAAACAAAACCAAAAGAGAAGCAACGAAATTGAAAGGACACCAAAAAGACAGGCAAAGCACATCAAAGAACAAAGAAACAAAAAAGAAAAGAAATAATCAGAAAGAACATCAAAAAACAAAGGACATAAGGAAACCAATCTTCTACCCCGGGTTTAGTCTCTTAACGGCCAAAAACAACACGGCCTTCTGCGCCGTCGGCCCATGGGCGCGGTGCTCGTCCTGGGACATGGCCGCGGCGCCTTCGAAAGCCGCGGCGCACGCGCGGCCCACGGTGTCCTGCTGCGGCCCTTGGGGGGTGCAACGGCTCTGTTTTGTTTTCTTTTTTGGTGTGTTTTGTGTGTGTGTGAGTTTTCTGTTTTCTTGCTTTTTTGCTTTTAACGACCATTTGCTTTGCTGGTCAACCAAAATGGATGAGGCCAATCTCCAAAAACAAAAAAACATTGCTTGGGCTTTCTGGAAAAAAGAGAGTGTGTTTTCCTTTGGTGATAGGCTCCCTTTAGTGATGGCTCTGATCTTATAACAACCATTTGCTCAAGCCCCCTAGAAAAAATAAAATCTGTCCTGTAGTGATAGACTCCCTTTAAATCCACCAGGGGAAAAGCAAACGGCGAAAAAACTCGTGGTGTCCTGCTCCAAAGGTTCCCCTTCGGAACAATCATCGATGAGTGAAATGTCAAATCGTGGATCGACGCAAGGCCCTTTGGGTTCTGGCGTTAAAGGACCAAACGAGAAACCCACTCGTGATGCAACGCGTAAAGCTTGTTCAACACTTTTGCGTTATGGTGCAACTCCTTATGTTGTCCAGTGAAGGTTTTCCCACTTGTGGTTCTGGTTTTCAAGCGCAGCCAAAAGGGGAATCCTTAAGATTTGTAACATCTCGGTCAAAGGGCTTTTGCCCTTGTTGGGTGACCCTGAATGGCTTCTAACAAATTGGCTCGCTCAGATGCCACGCAAATGATAGTCCTTTGGTGCAAGCTGGAACCTGCTTGTTGGAAGCCGTTTGGGATCCCCTGACCTTTGTAGGAACACTTCCCCAAGGAAGTGTGCGTTTGGCCGCGTGATTTCCGTTTCGTATCCAGAACTCAATACAAATGCGCGCCCGCCTCCCCAAAAAATAAAACAAAAAAAGGCGAGCGTCCGGTCCTTTCCACAGCCCGGCAGGCCGCACAGCAACACCGCCAGCCCCGCACAGGGAGCGCTCGCCATGGCTTGTAACTCGCAGGTGTCGCGGAGTCGGTGTCAGACTCCAAAGAAACTTCCGCATGCTCATGGTGCTTGTATTCTGGATTGATTGAATATGGTGAATCAACGTAGCAAAGGGCAGACAGGGCAAAGGGCAAGGCCTGCAATGCTTTTGGAGAGACAGACCGATAGTGACACGAAACTCAAGCACCCTAAGCAAACGGGCTGCATTTCAGCATGGTGTTGGCCTTGAAGTAAAGACATATGGTATGGCTTGGGCCAGCAGCTGCAGTCAGCAGGCAGCCCGAGCATCACAAAGGCTGCTAAGAACAGAAACGTCCAGTGTGCCTTTCAATTTCAATGTGTCATCGACAACTCAAGGCGCCCAGGATGCTTCAACACAAGTAAGAAAACCAGGCCTGCATTTGAAGGTTCAGGAGCAAAAAACCCGAAGCAAGCCCACAGATTCCCAAAGAGAAACCCAAGAAAGTCCAAAGACAAAGCCAAAGGAAACCCCACAGCTCAATAGCATGTGGTCCAATGTTTCTTCATTTCAAATGAACCTCTGGCCAAAAATAACCAAAAAGACGACAACTTGCCGTGTCCCGCATGAAAGACTCCGCATCCGGCCATCCGGAAATCCATCCGAGCCTTCGGGTCAATCCGTAGAAAGTTGGTGACAACGTCCGACAAGCCCACGACCAAGGAGAACTGCCTGCGCGTCTCTCCGAGGATCTGCAAGTCAACCAGAAAAGTGTGCCTGGCCTGATCTGAGGATACCCCCCAATATTGCAGGCAAACCAACAGGCAAGCATCATGGATTTCATGGCTTCATCTCAAATCGACTATATCTCACTAGCCTGCCGAGGTCCAGAATTGCATCACATTGCTTGTAGAGACGGAGTAAGTGCACAAAAATTAGGTATGCGTCAAAACCATCATGGTTCATGGACCCTTCCAAATGGCTAGCGCCGTTTCGAAGTGACCCGACACCGGGTTTCTGCTACACGAATCGAGTAGGGACAAATCGATGCATGTGTCCCACCAAAATGGTGGTGTTCCTTTTGGCGTCCCTTGAAACCAAGCCCAAAAGGGGTACCCTCAAAAACAGACACACCCAATTCTATGCATGTTTCCCACCCAGCCCTGCTCAAACAACCTGGAACCTGGCTAGCGCTTGATGTCGAGCGCCGGCTCCGCCTTGGGAGCACGTCCACGTCCAGGATGTCCACCTGCGCTGGTCAACACGTTTTGGATAATGAGAATCCGAAAGACAAGTAGCCATATCACTTCCCTTTCAATCGCGGAAAGCCAAAAATCATCTCGTTGATTGTCGAGTATCCAACCTACGTCCTCCGAGTTGCCTGGATGGGTGTCCCTTTACAGGGATCGGAATGCTCAGGTTCTGTATCTACCTGAAATCGTCGATGTGTGGGTCCACGCCGGGAGCAACAACCAGCCGCGTCATATCTTCCATGCGGAATGCCCACTAGCCTCTGTTTGTCCAGTATTTTGACGTGGGATTTGGAGGTGTCAACCATTTCCAACCGACCGATGAGATTGCTCTGACGGGACATGAACCGGCATCTGGCGGATTTTTGTGATATAAAGAATTACAATGCTGGCTGCACCCGTTTTGGGTTGGGCTTTTATAACCCTTAACCTTCATCTACCCAGGCTTTGATTGTCTCCCTGAACGTCTAAAATGGAAAACAAGTGTCAAGGTGGGGGGTTCTTATGGTGAGCATCTTTGCGGGAGTCTTTCTCTCCGAGATCCTCGATCTCCGGTCTGATTCTCGGTCCGGGCCTTTTCGCACCACCTCTCGGAGACGGAGTTGAACCTCATCGGGCTGGGCGATGCACACCAGTTAACTTCTTTCTCAGAAACTGTTTTCCCACGCCTGGGTCGGCCTTCCCCCTGACCCGAACATATTACCCTTCTGAGGTTCATTTTCAAAACACAGAACGTAATCATTTACCAAAAGATCTAAGAGCCTAAGGATCCAAAGAACAGCCCACACCAGAAAGGGAAGGCCCAGCTCATTGCAAGCCCGCAGCTGGCCTGATAAAGAAGGTCATCTCCCGGGTCTGGACGTTCACCCAGCTGGTTTTCGTCACACTCCTCAGCGCCTGCGCGTAGTGTCCTGCCGCGTGATTCCAGAAGCCCCAGGAGAACCAAAGGGAAACCAAGGCAACCCCTCAGCAAACCTGCTTAAGAATCCAGAGGCAGAGCCAACCACCAAACCAGACCTTGCTGCATTGGGGGCTTGTCAAAGGCAGACCCAAAAAGGAAATGCCCGGAACCTGGTTGCAAACCCTTGGGTCAGGCCACTTGGCCAGTAGCCGACTTTTAGCAGAAGGGAATCAACCCGCCGACCCCCCTGAAGCCCTGGCTCATTTCCTTTCTCCGCCGAAACCCAAAGCGTCCTCTTTCCAACCATGAGAACTCTTCTTTTGGAGTCACGTGCATGCCTCGGGACCTACCCCAAGTCGCCCTAAGTCGCCTTTCAAAGTCGGAACGCACCGCAGCACCGCAGAAAAGAAAAACAAAAACCGCCTCCGTTGAGGTGCACCGCGAAGGCGAAGGCATCCACTCCGGGCACCAGCTCCGCCACCTTTCATGGGGTTGGGGTTTGAAATAGCAAGGAGAATGAATTGGCAGGTGGGACAAATCATTCAGGGGCCAAATTCATTTTGGGAGATCATTTGACCCTGGTCTAGCCCATGTAAGAGAGGATCCCTCAAGGTTTATTCATCCGGACAACATTGTCAGATATTCTATCTGTCCATTCCCGTCCCTGCCACATTTGTGGCTGAAGATGCCGCAGATACCATCAAAAGCATTAGTGTTCAGCTCCGATTGCTGGGGAGCCGGGGACCTCACACCAAACAAAGAAATCTTGCACTGGAAAACCCAGGCCTCCATGTCTTCAACCCTCCCGCAAGAGATAAACCTCGTTTGGTTTCGGTCCTCAACAAAGGCTGCACAAAATGAAGAGTGTGTACGACTTTCCATTATCCCCACATTGGAAAACCACTGGAGAAAGGTTAAATCTTTCGTTGCAGTGAAGCATCTTGCGGATTGTTCAACTGATCAGCACCAAGCGGTTGGCTTTCTTATAGTGCCCTCTTGAAATGGCATTAACAGGCGCCTTAGACTTGTAGCACTACTCCAGTTACCAAAGGATTGCGCCCGGGGCTAACAGGACTTCCAACCATGGGTTATGCACAGGTTCCCGTTGGGAAAATGGGGCAAACCAGGACATGCTCAATGTCAATAAGGGGTAGCCTCAACAAGGACGGACAAATCCCCAAACCACCAATTCCTCAACAAGGGCCAGGGAGTCAAATCCCCAAACCACTTCAGGGTACCTGAAGTGATGTCGGGAGTACCCCCACCTGCCATAGCCCGCTGTCCGGCTCCGAGAGGGCGGACCAGCTCTCGACGAGGTTCAGCGCCCGCTCCATGCGCTCCTTAGAGGATTTGGACCAATGGCTATGAGATTCAATTGGGGATCCTTTGGTGGATATCCAAAAATGGCTGGCGAGTCGCCAAATGGGATAGGACGCCCAACAACTTGCTGGGTAGATTGGGTATATTTGTTCGTGAAGGTGTGTGTATGTGTATTGTTGGGGGGATAAAATCTAGCTTGGCGTCAGTTGGGTTCCAACCTGACTTAAACGCGCCATCTGCTTTTCCGAAAGGACACCTAGGATGGCTGCTCGTGAGGCATGAGGGAAGGAACCCGGCAATTCGTCTGATGGCCACCTCCCACCCACCCACCCCGCCGACTGCTTGCGATGCCAGGCTTCCGAATCCCCGTTGATCTTGTGAAAGGCCGCAGCGAAGAGATTTGAGCCCGGCAACTCGGCACAGAATCGGGGCCGCCAGGAAAAGGAGAGTATACACAGTATGTGGTTCAAGAGCATGTGGGGATCGCCCGGCTTTAAAATCATCTCAGACCATCAAAACCAACTTGGCAACGATGATAGTGCCCAAAGCTCATGATGGGGAACCACAAATGCTTGAAGCAGAAGCCTGTGATACAAGCCACATGTTTCAAGACAAAGCCTCGGGCGGAAATACCTCATCAGAAACGCATAAACCAACAATGGAACTGACACAGGCGCGGACCAAGAACCCAGGCCTGGCCACTGTAAGCAGAGAATCTCCGAGACTTGGGTGTCGTCGGGGCGGAGGAAGGCCCCAGAGCGTGCAATGCAGCTCATGGTTTCTCGTGAGCAAAAAGGACTTGGCCCTTTGGAAAGGAGGGAATCCCAGCTTTACAGAAGGCTTCCCACAGGACCGCACCTTGGTTGGAAATCCCCACTCACTGAAAAAACGTGAGGGCCCTTCTGTGGCAGTCCATTCTAGGTTCGCCCGCTTAAAACGGACGTGCTGAACCCACGACAAACCATTAATTCAGAGCATTCAGACATGGACGAATTCACAGCATCCCCCTCGAAAGGTAACCCACTTTGAATTGGGAGCCATCAGGCAAACAGGCGATGTTTGAAACCACCAAATTCGGGCTTCTAGCTGAGTTTTAAGAATAGGCGGACCCCCCCAAATTGTAGTTTCTCCCTTTTAAGTGTCCCTTTGGACCCCTTCAAAGCCGGATCCCAACCCAAACGAAACGCTCTCCGCTTTCCCTTACAAGGCGCCAGCTCGGCCACGCGCGTGATGGCGCCGTCCTTGCTCAACAGCCGCTCCAGGGAGTATCCCCTGGCGCGCTCCGCCGCCAACTCGTCCTCGTGGTACCGGTGGAAGGCCACCTGTTGGTCGGGTCGGAAGGCACTCCAAGCGCCCGGAAATTTTGGACCCGGTTCAAAGAGGTGTGTAGCCCCGTCTGCAAAGAGGTGTGTTGCACACTTGGATTTTGACCACGCTGACAACTCCCTTTCGACCTCTTTGCAACAGGTGTGTATGCACTTGTTGCAGGTACCCCCACTTTTCAGGGTGTCAAGAGGCCAACGGTGGGGCCGGCTGGAAGGCTGATGGCCGTGTGTTTTCCTGGGTGGAGTTGCTTTTTCCCACTGAAAAGAAGGACACCTTTTGCGCCTGGTATGTGGATGATTGAATAATTTGACTTGATGGTCTTGGGGCAAACAATGGTTCAGCTGGAAGAGTTGTTAGCTTGTGTTGGGTCATTGGATTACCAAAACCGTGAACATGTAAAATAAAGGGTAAACATCCACACGCGCGTGTATATGTATTATGTGTAATTATATATATATATAGAAAGGTTCAACGTGTTTTTCTCTGGGTAGGTTTAGGGCTCCTCCAGGTCTTTGTGGCCTATTTCTTGTCAATCTAAAATAAGTCCATCGCTCGCATGTGAGTCCAGCTACAACAGCCCCAAGCCTTCCGCCTAAGCCGACAACCCGTGACAACCCTAAGCGAAACAAACAGCCCCAACGGAAACCTCCAGCTGTCGGCGTGCAGCTCCAAAAGGAGCAATCTGCAGGTTCAGGGCGGGTACAAAACGAGCCCCGTTCTGCCCCGTTGCCGTTCTCAAAGTCAACTAGAAGTTTCGAAGGCAAGTCCGGGGTAAAGTCTCGCTTTTGGATTCTAGAATCGAACTCAGAAACTTTCTGGTTTTGCATGTTTCGGCTCCTGAAATACCCTTCTGTCAGCACCCTTCCTACCATCAACAATACCACCGATAAGATGCATGGTTCGAACCGGACCAGCAAGCCCAACCGTCCCATCTCGCGCCATCCCCGGCCATACCGTCGGAGACCAGGGGGATGTGCTCCATCATCTTGGTCAAGTAGCCCTCGCTGCCGATGGGGTTCCGCTGCCTCGCGCGCTCCAGGGCTTCATCCTCGTCCCCGGACCGGTGGATCTCCTCAAGGGGAGTGGAAGGAATCGCCCCTTCTTGGAGCCTGGGGACAACCAGAGAAAAACCATCCATGTTGAAAATGGCTTTAGGAAGCATGGTTTGCGTCTGCTTCACGGATGAATGCTAGACTAAATTTATCAGCGTCGTTCGAGATAGACAAGAACGTGGGGCATGTTCCATGCCAGAATTCTGTGTCATTTGTTGACCAACCGCAAATGCTTGACCACAATTCTGTCCTGACCGTGGGATTCGGTAACGAGCATAAACTTCAAAATGAGGGCCAGGGGCTGTCAGTGGCTGGGGGGACGGCCCAAATTGCAAATGACTTCTGCCCAGAAGGTGATTGCTCCGCATTGGTTTTTTTCAAGAGGAGCCCTCTATGCTTGTTCAGACCACTCATGCTCGTCATCCGAGGTTGCCATCAATTAAAAAAGCAAGCCCATGTATGTTCTGTTAGAACACCCATAGCACAGGTTTATTGGGGATCAGATCTCGTATAGGGACCAAGGTGGTGGCAACTGTCCCTTTCTGTGATATCGAAGTTCTCATCCCCACGACCACTTTTCACGGGATCGTGGCACCTTAGACGGTGACCCCTTGCCCCTTCGCCTGCCCTTCGCCTGGTCTCTGTGGAATATGTGTCAAAATAGGGGTACCCCCCCCCCCAAAAAAAAAAAAAAAACAGTCTCCCTTTGGTTGCCATTTAAACCAGCCCCAAAAATGGTATCCCTAAAAGAAAAAGCATCATTTGGAGCCCCCCAAAACCAAGATGAAAAAGGTGCCAAGAAAAGACAAGCCTGTTGGCTTCCTTTTGGTCTCCCTTTCACCCAACCCGAACTTCCACTTACCTCACAAAAACCACCCGCCTGCACCACCAAGTTCACCACGGGCACGTACTCCGCCGCTTTGGTCAGCACCCCGTCGGGCCCGATGGGGTCCGAGCGCCGGGCGCGGATCAAAGCGCTCTCGTTGTTCGCAAACTCGTAGAGGATCTGAAGGGAAACAGGCGAAGCAGATGGTTGAACAAGGAAATGGCAACGATGGAAAAACAAATAGATTGATGGGATGGGGTGGGATAGAGTGGGATGGAATAAGATGACAAGATGGATTGCTACATAAATGAAATGGGAAAGATAAACGACACAAAGGAGGTCATGAAAAAGAACTGTCAAATGAGAATGATCAGGATATACATCTGTACATATGCACTGTTCTGACCGAATAGGGTGTCATAAACAAGACCTAGCTGCTTCAACCTGTGCTCAGGGTGAGTTCTGATGCGTGGATGCGGCGATGTTATCCAAATTGGAAAACCACAAGTGAGGAGCGCCTCGGTCAAACAGCCCAGACTGTGTGTTCCGATCAAGTCGTCTTTGGTCAGACGACTTGGCCACCGCCAAACGGCCAAACGAAACGCCACGCACCAACTGAGTCGGCATCCGAATAGGGCATCAAAGGGGCCTACTCAAAAGCTAGAGAATCTCAAGGGCTGATGTCTCTGGCAGCGTGGTTGGGACTCGGTAGGGGACTGCACCCCAGCTTCCCAACTTTTGCTGCGCGCCTGCAGCGCGCTAGAGAAAATGGGCAAGTGCTCCCCGAGGCGAGTCAGGTGGTTGGGGCCATCATCCTCACATCTCTCCTCGTACGTCTGGGCCTCGAAATGGTCGAAGCTGGTCGTGTGCGGGAACAAGGTCTGAGACGGCCGCATTTGCATGGAGATTGGCTGCAGATCAGAGAGAGAGAGAGCGAGAGAGAGAGAGAGAGAAAAGCGAGAGGGAGAGAGAGAGAGAGACAGAGAGAGAGAGAGAGAGAACTCAAACCTTCTGAACCCACTCTCCACATCAACCTTGAAAATCTGAATCGGAGGCATCCAGGGCTCCTCTGGGAACCTCCCAAATTGGGGAGTGACCTCCTGGGTCGGGACCCGAAACCGGGACCCAGCCTCCATATCCTCTATCAGCGACATGGCGCGACCGGTGTTAAAATGTGGGGGGTCGACCCCCTCAAAAAAAATGGCGTGCCAAGCGAAACCAAAGGGAAACCAAAAAGCGACTTGGGAGAGCCCATACTCGATTCTTAGGAACCCAAATGATCGGCTGAAATTGGAGCAGTACGAGCGCTGAAGAAAAGTAACAGTGTGCTCAGCATAGTCTCATGATCATGAGCCGCTGGAATGGCGATGCGCAGGCCATATCAAGAAAGAGGGCAGGAGTCCAAACCAATTCTGATGATTTTCGGAATATTGCAAGCCAACCAACCACATCAGGCTACAAACTCCTGGCAAAATCGCGGTATCTTTTATCATGCACCCCTTCAAAGCGCTGGGGGGCGGGGGGGAGGGGGGGGGGGGGGGTTGGGAAGGATAAGCGCATCAAATGCCGCCTTGCTGACGGCTTGACAAGGGCTTTATAACGGCTTATCCAATGCTTATCCATACCTTGTCACAAGCCTATCCTAAGCGGCTCTGCAGGAATGATTCAGCGTTTAACCGAGGCCAGGGGATATGCTTGGGATAAGGTATGGATGAGCAATGGGTAAGCCATGAACACGCCCTTATTCAGCTCTCAAGAAGGAGTCATTTGATCATGTGCTTATCCTTTCCTTATGGATAAGACCTACATGATTTTGGCAATTCTCTTGTTCCTGTTGCAATAATCGCATAACATGTGTTGCCCAAACCAAAGGTCTGCCCTCGTATTGGCTAATGCATACACATGGGATCCATACTTCCCTCCAAACTCGAAGGTGGTTCCGCTTCTGGCAGATTGCTCCACAAGGGGACTCTGAGAAGTATGCCCAATCACAAATAGGCAGGCATTCTTAGTACAGGATGTGTTTACACTGGCAGTCTATGTACTGCAGAAATGGTGGTTCATGCCGCTGACTCTACTTTAGCTTACGAAAGGGATCAACACCAAAAAGAGGCCTCCACTGTGTTCGTAGGGCTCCTGATGTCAAGACATTTTGCTCTTGCACAAGGGGAGCCACACCCACCCAACGGACAAGCTACATGCCAGCTCAACAAGAGCCACACAGACCTTGATTTCACCATGCCCGGAACGCGAGAATCGGATAAGCCAGGGCTGGCAGGCCAAGGGCCCATCCGCGTCGGTGCCCCGGTAGACCTAAGCGCACCCATGACGCAAGCTGAGAGTTGCCCACTCGCCGGCGGACCGGCCTCCTGCGCCTCGGCGGATTCGTCCTCCTATGCAAAAGGCCCGTGTTTCATGAGGTGAGTGGCTGCAAATTCGTTGGTAGGGTAACCCCAAAATGGCGTGCCCTGGTAAATGGAAAAACATAGACTACCTGCTGCGGTTTTTTCTTGGTGGTGTAAGTTTGACTCATACCCATGAAGCTTTGGCTCAGCAATTTGGCATGTGACAGATACAAACTAACACTGCGATCGGGACCCGTGACTTGCGATCGTGATTCGGGGCTGTGATTTGGAACAGCCGCATGGCAGACATTTGGAGCCAGCGCTTCGGCTCTCAAGTTCCTGTCTATCTGTGGCATCAGAATCGCGAACTGCACCACTTGCAGGTGTGGAGGGTTAAAAAGATCATCAAGAATCAATCGAATATTGGAGCGAATGCGGAGAGGAAACAAACCGATCCGCTTTCCGCCTCGCGTGCGACTGGCAAGACTGAAGCAGACCAAGGCTGCCAGTTGAGTCGAAAAGCAACCAGATTTCGGGTTCAGATCCATCCGTCTCCTCGTCCGCTGCGAGGTAGCTCTCAAAGCCGCCGACCTGCTCAGGCGCCGAAAGGTGGAACGCCATTCCGCGAACAGAAGCTGTGCCCAGAAGTCAAACAAGCCAGCGGGCTTCCGAGAAAAAAAATACATCACGCGTTTTGAGATCTTCCCTCCTGCACTTTGCCTTGACCAATACCTGTGAATCATGGACGTGGACAGGGGGCCAGCCTTAAAGGACAGCGGTCTGAGACTTGCAGAAATTGGTGCCTGCGCCTTTCAAAACGCAACCCCGCAAAGGGCATCCTCCCATGACAGCCCAAACCGGTCCCAGGGCTCTCTATTTCCCCTTTTTTAAACATCCCCACTAGGAGGAAACTCAGCTACAATCCCCAAAGTGATCTTTTCACTGGCTTGATTTCACAGAGTTAGGCAGCACCACTCGCTTCATGGAGAACCTGCTGGATGGATCAAAAGGAACTGAAATACAACAGCTGCGCAGATGGAGCAGTGCCAACATACAACACACACACACACTCCAAAATGAGTAGACAAATAGCTACATGAGCCATGGTCAAAGCTCTCAGGGTCATGGCCAGGCCCAGTTTGACGCAGACTCAATCGGGAGCATGCAACATGAGAATGTGTTGTCAGCAGCGTGGGCATCTTGCACATGCTGGCGATTGACCGCTCATCGCCGCTCCAATATGACATGATCACAGCATCAAGAAGAACACATGCAAAGGAATCGATTTATGAGTTGCCTGTGAATACGTGGGTCTGCAAATACATACAAATAATATATTTTGAGAGAGGGAGAGAGAAAGAGTCATACAAGAAGGTATCTCTGGGTTGACCAGCCTGCAACAATGCGACATTCCCGAGGCAACACAAGCCCAAAATAGCGCATCCAAGCTATCCCAAAGCATTGCTCAAAGCGATGAATACACCGCCTGTACTACGGGGGAACGACATCTCTCGGGTTGAGAGGCTTTTGCACCATTTGCGGCTGCAAACCAACCATTGCCATGGTCAAACTTGTTGGATTATATTGTCATGGCCTCCCAAACTGGTTTTCTGGAGTCCCCAGTGTAAGTTTGAGCCCACATATCCCGAATGTGCCATGGTCAAAACTCCCCTTTTGGCTTGTGGTCTGGTTCCCTTGACAGGAATCAGGGTCTTTTGACCAGGGCACAAATGATCCCAACACATTTCCACGAGTACCTTGGCACAGCCAACCCCAACCAAAATGAACATCTTTGATCCTGGTCCATATTCAGTGACCTGAAAATGTAGAGAATAATGTCAAGTCAAATGCTGACTACCCTCCCTGTCAGGGGCGTCCCGTCAAGAGCAACCTGATCTGCCAGGTGCCCGCCCATAAATGCTATAGCTGTCACTATGATAGAGGGAGGAAGGGCAACTCTGTCAGTTTCATCCAAACTTTGTATTTCACCACCCTTCCAGCCCTGGTGCGCGCAAAAAGCCCCTGGCCTCCTCACTGCTCCACTTCTCGCTGGCGGCCACTTGCAACTCCTCCGTGACCTCCTCTGCTTGCAAGTCTCCCGGCGCAGGGCCCCTGTCGCACCTAACATCATACCAAAGAGAAACTTCTTCCAAAATGGCCTGCGGTCTTGACTCGTTGTCCTCTGGATGCCCTCTATTCCAAAATTGCCCAAAGGAGATGCTGCAACCACCCGGAACCAGAGCGCAGAGGGGGGCGTGAGCGATTCTCCGTACCGAAACCTCCGTTGAGACCCCTCAGAAAACCAAATCCGCCGACATTGCTCGGCGTGTCGGACACCTAAGAGAGGATAGAGGACAACCCCCCCCCCCTAACCCCCCCCCCCCCCCCCGCGCCCGACGTCTGATACGTAGGGTACAGGGGGGGGGGGGTCCCCCACGTACCGCGAAGGGAGAGAGGAAGAAGGAGAAGAGGGAGAGGACAATGTCGGCGGACTGAGCCGGAGGCTCTAAAGTAACACGAGGCTCGCGAGAGGATCAAACATCAAACACCTGTTCTTGAAACCGTGGCAAGGCCTACATACTTGACAACCTCCCTTAACGTCGAGAAACAGTGTGGAGGGTGACGGTGGCCCAGCTTGGCAAACCCCTGAGTTCACAAGAGTGGCCAACCATTCAGAGGCACCATTTTGGATGGTTCAAAAGGGAAACAAACAAGGAGTCCTCATAAGCCATCTTGTCATCAATCGAATCGGGGGATCCCTCGAAAGAAAGGACTCCCCTACAACGCGACCACCCTTAGCAATGACTGGGGTATGTCAGCATGCTCTTGGAAGAAACGAAGAATGTTGTATGGTTTCAAGGCGTCCATGGTTGATTTACAAACATTCATCAGGGGTCAACGTGATTCCGAAGAGCAACTCCCCTGCCCTGAAATTCGACGCCCGCGAGCCTCGCTTCCGCGAACGCCCTCGCCGAGGGTGAAGCAAAGGACGGCATCCAAATCTGCCTGGACTCGCCAAGCGTTCGCTGCGTGGATGCTTCCCGAAAAGCTCTTTTTGAGGCCGTAGGTTTGTAGAACCTCCTTTTTTGAGTTGGTTTGCAGGGAAACGCAATCCATGGCACCACTCGTTGCGAAACAGAAAGAAACACACACACACACACACACACACACACGGTGGTGCCCTAGTCCAGCCCAATAAAAGCCCGGGTTCCTTGTGGTTTCCATAACAACAGGGGGTCTTTCTATCACCACACCCGTTTTGGTGCAACCAACCTGAGGCAAAGGACCTCATCTTGGAGATCTTGATGGGCTCCCTTCACCGCCACCTGCATATAGGCTGAAACACCGGTCGCAACTGCACGGGGCTGCTCAACACTTGATGCATCCAAGGGCAACTCCACATGGGTATCTTTCGAAGAATACCCGCTTTGGGGCTGTTTGAAGGCTTGTGTTTTTTTTTTGGGGGGGGGGGCGGTCTGCCTTTCGAGACAAAACTAGGTACACCGCCCGTAGTTGCCCGTGTAATCTCGTTCTTTATCTTGCTTGGGCAACCTTTCCAAGCCGCGATTACATGGGGGAAATGAGAGCACCGATTGTTCCTCATGTGAAACGCGTCGAGCCAGTGGGATTCCTGAATGCCATTGGCGCACTGCTGCCCCAAAGCTCCGTTTTTTCAGCCCCCAACTATCGCCTGTCAAGCATTTTGCTATGCTAGATGCCTGGGAGCCGCGTGAGGGATTCTCTTTTCAAAGACCGACGGGGAGAGGGGTCCTTAATATTGTTCACCCAAGCGCCTTACTGCCCCAAATCTTTGTCGGCTGTTCGATTGCAGGCAACACACCGGCTCTCAAGGTCAGTGACGATCCTTGCAACTGCAACAGACCTGCTCTTGAGAAACCAGCTCAGGACATGACATGGCCAACTGCACGCACCTCCGTTCTTCAGCCCCCACTATCGTCTGTCAAGCGTTTTGCTTTGCTGGAGACCGAATGTTGCCTGGGAACCGCATGAGGTTTTCAATAACCGACGGAGGGAGGGATCCTTAGTAAACCAGATGGACCACAATAAAGGAACGTAAGCGCCTAAACCCGAAAAGTCGAACGGAAATCTGTGTGGGCACACCGTGACGGCTGACACAAAGGACAAGACGGGGTCCGCTGGTTGACACGCGACGTCCAGAAGAGAGTCCAAGTAAGGCAGCCACACTGCGGAGAAAAAGAAAGGACCCAGCACCGAGTGTGTGGAGAAGCCATGCGAGATACCAGCTAGATGCAGCAAGATGATGAAGGCAAGGGCTAGACGAACATCTTCTGACACCATGGTTTGCGCACAAGGAGCTACAGCAAAACAAGACAGCTCAGCACACAAAGAACACATCCAAGAAACACCAGTTTTCCCCACACACACACACACACCACACACCACACCCCGCACATCAACAACAAATACAAAACGCACCGCAGAAACGGCAAAACATCAAGTTCTTGTCAACCGAAATCGAAGAAGTGACGCAATCATCCCCCCCCACCCCACCCCCCGGCAAATAAACAACCAACCACAAAACAACACCAAAAACATGGAGTTCGTTCCACGGGCGGCTATGAGCGATGGTCCAACTACATTGGAACTCCAAGAGAACATGTTGGAAGCTGGTTGCCTTCTGAGACTCCGGCAGTATAGTCTAGGCCAGGGCGAAAACGTCGAACCTGCAGAGTAAATCAAGGTGTGGGAAATGGAATCCGTGCCCCGACAACTACTTCCGCAGTTGTCCAGGTCTCAGGGGGGGGAACAGCTCCTGCCACGGATTGGCTGCATCTTATCAGGGTCTCTGTCCGCTTCTCTTGCAGGTTGCGCCGGCATTGCATATTCACACATCCACCAGGCAGCGCCCTTTGGACAGGTGCCCCTTGTGCAAAACATGTTGTTTTGTGGCCGCTCCCAACTGACAGGGGGGGGGGGGGGGAGACTCGCAAACATTAGACACAACCACTCAGAAAGCCTTCCATGATGCTCCGGCGCGATTCAACACGCCTGAGGACAGCCGTCATTCTTGGTATCCAAGCCCGTGCAAGCCTGCGCTGACGGGTTCCCCATACTTCCAACCTGAAATCTTCACCCCAAAGGGAACTCACTTCAAATTGGCGACCAAAAGTTGATGTGCAAAAGCACCGAAGGGACATACAGGGAACAAATATGCTCCATCGGCAACGCGACTCTTGTTCCTGGCGCTACTCTCTGCACCCCCGGCATGAAAAACTCCTTGCTGTCAAAACCTTGCATCAGGCGATCGAGTCAGCGTAAATCTGCTTGACAGAGTGTGCTTGCCTGAGCTCCTAAAACATGGCATTCCCACCAAGGCCTTTAGCCACCGCCGGAAGCTGCCACCTCGCAAGCGGGCTGAAACCCCAGCCGTGGGGGTGTGCTGTGCTTTTCGCAGTGACACCAAGCGCAAGACCCACCATTTTGGTGGGTCTAAGCCAGGAGGTTGTAGGATGCATGACACCAGCCCGCCCACCGCCCGGCCGGGGCGGCCACTAGGAAACAGCTCGCGCGCCAGCGCCGACAGGGCGCACCCCAACCTGCGCCAGTTTGCCACTTGCGCTTGCTTGCATGGGTGCTTCCTAACATAGACCCTGTCCTGGTCGTGGGCATACCTGTGTTCCCCTGAATACTCGCCAAGAAGGGGAGGTCCAAACTTTCGGAAATACACATATATTATGTTTTGTTTTTTCCCGTGAAGTAAGAACTGAGCCGGTCACTTAGTTCCCACCACTGACATGAACCTGTTAAGTCCCCTTGCAGGGCACGGGTCGTCGCTCATGGCCTATGTCCACTTTTCGTCAACAAGCATGTGCCGCGCAGAGTCAATCAGGAGAGGTTCGCCTTTGGATTCTAGTGTGCATTTTGCTTGAAGCCATTTTAGTCGGAACCCGCCAGGAAAAACATCAGCTGATCTTAGGGCCCCCTATTTTGACAGGTCTGGACATTCCGCAAACCTCAGCCACAGGCCTACGGTGCGGCGGCGCCTCCTTTGGACATGCCTGCGAAAGAGGAGAGGCCGCGGAGAGCGAAGGGGGAAGCTTTTTACGTCTTGAGAGATATTTAAATAAAATAAGACCCATGAATTATCAAACTTTTACGGGGAGGGGAGTTCCTTGCATGTCCCTACCTATCTACTTTCAAGATCAAACCCAAGAGGAAACCCTGTCTGATTCCTTCTCCAAAAGGCCAAGGAGGGGAGCCAAGCAAACGTGTCATGGTGGCCCCAATTGTGGAATCCTCCCAAAAAGGACAAAAAAAGCACCTGCTCTCATTAGGTCCTATTAGCTTCTATTACATGATTAGGTCATGGGTCCCTTGACAACTTTACGAAAGCAGGTGGGCGGTTAGGGGGGTTGTCAAAAGGGCTCTGCACCCCCAGCAATGCGTGTCCCAGCCTCGCGGTCAGAGAAAGACCTGAGCTGCCGGCAGCCGCTCATGCTGCCCCTGCAGCCCTTTCCCCTGGATTCGCCTCCTTTCAAGGCTTAGCCCCGCCCACCAACAATTGCTGTAGGCCATGTTAACAACACACCATGGATATTGTTGAAATCTACAGGCCGGATTTGGGACAGTGTTCATATTCCATAATCAATCCAACTGGTTGGCAGGGTACCATATCCTTGACACACACAAAAAAACAAACAAACAAACAACAAAACAAACAACAAAACAAAACAAAACAAAACACAACAAACAAACAAACAAACAAACAAACAAACAAACAAGCAACAAAACAAAACAAAACAAACAAACAACAAAACAAAACAAAACAAACAACAAAACAAAACAAAACAAACCAACACAAAACAAAACAAAACAAAACAAAACAAACAAACAAACAAACAAACAAACTAACAAACAAGCAACAAAACAAAACAAAACAAACCAACACAAAACAAAACAAAACAAAACAAAACAAAACAAACAAACAAACAAACAAACAAACAAACAAACAAACAAACAGACAACAACAAAAAAAAAAACAAACAAAAACACACACACACACACACACACACACACACACACACACACACACACACTCACTCAACCAGAGTGCCCTTTGCAGTGCATGTTACTTCATGCATACTGGCTTGGAAGTAAAGGGCACCCTAACCTGAGATCCGCGCAGAAACCTTCGCAGGTGTGGCGGTCCTCTAAGCTCCTCAGTGCAAGTGCCGAATCTCTGGTTTTCGGGGCCCAAACAGCGTTCCAACATTTCACTTTCAGGTAGACTGTACTTTTATTATAGACTAAAGTCCTCGTTGTGAGGCATCTTCTTTCGCAGCAATATACATCTAAACCCAGGGTTCGGTTGATGTCAGCAAAAGGGATAAGGAAGGCCTGTGGGCCCTGTTTTCGAAAAAGTAGGGAGGTCGTGGAGACGCCCCGAACACCCTCCTGAACTCACATCCGATCAGCTTCCTTCATCTGGGTGGAATCCCTCATTTTGCCCCCGAAAAGAGCGGCTCCGCTTAGGCCCTAGTCTCAGTTTCCGACAGGGGTGTAAGAAAAATGAAGGGCGAGCGATCCTGCTGGGGGGGAAACGAGCGAGTCCACCGGCAAAGGGATTTACACCTCTGTCAGACACAGGAGACTCTGAACACCGTCGCAAAGCTTAACTATTTCAGGCCAACGATCTGCCGACCAAGTTAGCCTGGTGGGCAACCCCTGGAACCCGGTCAGCCGGGTGGTCGAGCAAAATCATTTTGCACGTTATCCATTGTACGTGCACTGAAGGTCAATTAGCAGGATTTGGAAATGCGGGCAGAAATTTGCAGATGTGTGTTCAAATCTATCCGCACCAACTGGACATAAGGGGGCGTCAAAACTTTGAAATGGGGGATCCAGGGGAACCCCCTATGAATTAGCGAACTTTGCGTGGAAACAACGGTACAAGGCACGGAAGCACGAAGCACCAAACCCGTTGAACTCCGGAAGCAGCCCGGGCAGAATCCTCTCTCAGACTCTCCACATGCGCATGCTGGTGCAATGAACCTCATCAAGGTTTCTCTCTCTCTGACTCTGTCTCTCTCTCTTTCTTTCTGTCTCTCTGTCTCTTTCTCTGTCTCTGTCTCGTTTGTTTTTGGGTTGGTCAGCGATTCCCTTCAGAGCCTGAGCTAGCGAATAGTGTCTGACTGGAGCATTGGTATGCAATGCCTCGACTATGGACGGGCCCCCAAAAAAGTCGACTCGAGACGTCGACTGAGACCTCTGCCCATCCTGACTCCGCGCCACCCGAGTAGCGCGGCTGCGCGGGCTCCTGCCGCGGGCCCAAGTGGGTGGTTTCCCTTTGTTTGTTTTCCTATTAAACCCACCCCAGAACGTGAACGGAGGATCCCTCTTTTGCCTTTCAAGAAACAAAGTTCAACCCAACAATTCACACCCTCCCCGACCCGTGCCCTGCTCCTCCGCGTCCGGCATGAAGCCTCCGCGCCGCACACATTCCCCTTTGATTTAAGCATCAATCCCACCTCGAGGACGCTCACTCAACATTAGACCAAAAGGTGTGGTTCGATTAGACGCGTGCCTCTGTTTCTGCGTGCAACTTTGCCTGCTTCTTTTGGCTGCAGGCAGTTCCGCTTCCTCATGCAACGGGACAAAACCCCTCTTGTCCACCCAAACAGACTATGTTCATAATATTGTCGTGTAAAAAAGAGTTGTACATATTCGCCTGAGCCATGCCACGAAACCTTCGAACTTGCACTCTCGGGCCAAATCCGCAGATTCAGACCCTGCAAATCCAGCCATTCGTCCGCTTCGGACGGCTTTTTTGGGCTGAAAAAAAAGGCGATGTTTTCGAACGAACTGCTCCTAAATCTGCAGGTTCCGCACCCATTTCGGTCCCCGGCAAAAAATGAGGTTGGGATAGCTGGTGTCATAGACGTCTGGGCGCCCGGGCCGTCCAGGCGGTCGGCCGCGTGGAGGTGTCCGGCGATCTGCTCCGCCAGGTCTGCGCGCAGGAACTGGCGAGCTCGCGTGGTTGGACCCTTTCGCAGCTCAACGTCGCCTTGCGTTTGTCGAGACCTGCCAATAGATGCCCCCAAATTTGGGGGGGGGGGTGAAAGCGGGTACACCCAGCTGGTGTATGGGTCCCCCCAATTTTGGGGAC